GAACAACAAAATAGAAGAAAGCAAGTCTATTCAGTATCAGAACATTGTTAGTATCTGTAGCCTCTGAGGCATATAGGGAGGTTTTGAGATTTTCAGTACCCATAGCTTCTCTATTCACTTGTCCTGTAGGACACTAATGGGGTATCATCAGAAGTAGTAGTTATAATAGAAAATTAAGTTCTGATTATTAATATGGAAAGGAAAATTCCATCCAATTGCTATCTTCTGACATTTGGGGAGTTGAATATGAATATTAGTCACAAATGTTTATACACCCATGACAACATAGTAATACACCCGTGAAATCTACAAATCCAGAGATCATTGTTGATTACCTTATTAAGTAGAAGGGAGCAAAGCCTGTCACTTGCCTAAACTTTTCCATTTGTCTGAGAGTCTCTTAGTTTTTTTCCAACAAAGCCTTAATTTGAAGGTATTGACTTCCTTTTGCCTGTGAGGTCTCACCTCCCTGGTTTTCCTTTTTGCTCTCTTTTAATATTTAAAGGAAACCATGCAGCACATTTAAAACCCAGCAAAAATTTAATGTAGGAAAAAACCTAGCCTAAGAGTCAGAAAACCTACGTTTTGATCCTTACTGTTCCACTAATTGCCCTCTGATCACTGGCAAGTTGACATTCTAGGTCAAATACCAGCAAACTAGCCCACCAGCCAAATCTTGCCCACTGCCTGGTTTTGTAAATGAAGTTTTATTTGAAGATAGCCATGCCCATGTGTGTATGTATTGTGTAGGGCTGCTTTTGCTTCACAGTGGTAGAATTGAATACTTGGGACAGAGACCATACAGCCCACATTTACTATCTGACTAAATGCTGACTCCTGTTATAGATTGTTTCCCCAGTGTAGCTAAAATATGCCTCTGTTAACCAAAGGTCAGATGATTTATGAAAGGCAGTCATAAGGGAATTAATGGGTGGCTTCAGTGTATGCAGTTGATTGGTCCCTATTAAATGGCCCTAGACCACAGTGAGAGCCCTGGTGGAGTTTGCAGTTACAGTTGTCAGAGGTGTTTTTTCTCCAACTTGCCATTAGAGGGCACCAGTTCCCAGCAATAGGAACAAATTTATTTTCTTGAAATGAATTTTGAGTGATTTGGGAGGGGTTTCTGTTATAAGATGTTATTTCCTTTCTCTGACTTTTGGAGGTAAATATTAATCTTTGTGGGCTGCATGGTTTCTGTTGAAATGAAACTCAGCCAGTGTGGTACAAAAGCAACCATAGGCAATACATAGTTTTGTTCAGGTAAAACATTGATCACATTTTAAGTGTGATCTCATTAAACTAGAACATAAGCAGGGAAAAACATTTTCAACTTTTGTTTTGGTTTTCAGATGCCTAATCATTATGATCTAGACTGCCCTACAGCTCCAATTCCATGCACATTCAGTACTTTTGGTTGCCAGGAAAAGGTAAGGTTTTTTTCCTTTTAAGTCTTAAATTTAAATCAAGAATATTCAGTTATATAATGTAGTGGAGAACACCAACAAGAATGTAAATGTTTGTAAAACAGTGTGATAAATTATATAATAGAGTTACTTATGGATGCTGCAAGCGAAAGCAAAGGCACACCTAGCAGTGTCTAAAGCAGTCAGGCAGACTTGACAAAAGATGATGGGCTGAATCTTAATAGATGAAAAAAAAGTTGTCCAAGAAGGCAAGGGAGTGGCTGGCGAGAGAGTGAGTGAGCAAGCATGGTGATTTGGGGAACTGCAGTAGTTTGTTTTATGTTATTCAACCCAGTAACAATATAGAAGATTTGAAATAGGAGTAGGGGTGGCAATACCTGAGCTGTTAGAATACCAAGACCCCATATGAGGACAGCATGAATTATGGTGGTGACAGTGAAGGTAGATCTAGGAGGTA